TCTGGAAAAGTTACCTGTGTAACGTTACTTTAGAAAAGAACAAAACTCCAAATGTCTAGTGCCTTTCTTAAGGGACCGCTGCATCTCGAGGCTGGATGGGAGCATCCCTGTGAAGAGGAAGAGGCCCAACTGGACGAGCTGTAAAAATGCCTTTGAGCGTGCGACTGCTTTGGAAGGGGCGAGAGAGGAGACGGGCAATTGTCACTTCAACTGTGACGCTGTACTTTGTAGCAGTTGAACTGTGGAGGTTTTCTACTTTACCTGTTACTAATAGTGACTTGGCTGGACTGGTGCTGTATTAAGCTTGGTTTGAAGACAGTAGAATTGGAGGCACAGGATTGGTTTTTGCTTGTAACGGAATCAGAGTTCTGGTTACACAAATGCTGTTTTTTCCCCCTACCTGTCACCCCAGGACCCAAAGGAAGCAGAAAATACTCGGTACAGGAAGAGCCTGGCACAAAATCTTTGGGCTCAGTGCGCGTCTCCGCACGATGAGCAGCGGGTAGCTATAGAAAGCAGGCACCTACCATCTGTCTTGAACAGGGTTTCTGGCTGACGGAGTGTGGTCATTGCCACCCTAGCGGAATGGGCATCCGAAATGAGACATATCTGGCTACGAGCGTGGTAACATTTGCCTGCTGCACTAGCCTTGTGTGTCTCTCTCTGCAAACGCTACAGATTTCGGCATTCAGTGCCTGTCGTGGGTAGCAGTGGATTTGCTTTCTCTATAAACAGCTTTTCTGCATGCCCCTCACTGAGCCCTAATTCTGGGGGAGCCAGGTGGGTTTGGGGTACAGCACGTTGCTTCCTGCACTAGACTGATTGTATTACTGTAGCTAATCCTGAGGCAGGGTCATTACTGTAAACGTCCTTTTCAGTTGAGCAAGAAAAAAATGCAACGCCCAGGGCCTTTTTTTTAAAGGTGCCACATTAAAAAGTAGGTGTCCTCATTCCCTACTCTGATTTTTCAAGTTCCTGATAAAAAAAAAAATCTTTTTTTTGAAATTGATGGTGGGGGAGGAAAGTTGTTACTTCTCTTGAACGATGAATACCAATTTGTATAATGTCAGTGTTAAAAATATTGAGATTTTTCACAAAATATTTTAAAAAGTATAATAGTGTCATTAATATAAAAAGATAATAGCAGTATTTAATCCTTTCAGATCTGTAAAGAATAAGAAAAAAACAGAAGGTAAATATTCTTACAGAGAGTAGCTGAGCTTTAAGGTTCACTTGGGTTAAAGTCCTCATTTGGTTTGCAAATGCCTTGTTAATGTTTAGAGGTTATACTAATGTTATTTATTAATTGTTTCCATTCCTGTATGCTGCCCACTAAGAGCTTCTTTGTTTGGGATGTCATTCACCTGTGTCAATAAAAAAACAAAACAAAGTTTTATTTTTAAATAAAATTTCCTTTGTTGTAGCATACGGTGTGTATTGTGTTGCTTCTGGGAGTCCTGGAAGAAGAATTGTGCGCAGGAGACAACCTCAGACGTCGTGTCCAGAGTGTCTGGGTGTGACATTTGTGGCTGGGGGGCAATGGGCATGCTTCACAACTACAGCTAACTTAGAACGGTTGGAGTGGTTCTGGACATAACAGATAAGAGTACTACTAGATGAAGGGCAGGAAAACACAGTCTACAGCAGACAGCGACAGGAATGTCTATGCATAGAGTCAAACACGGTCAAAAATAAGTAACAACTTTTGCAATCAGAGCTCAGACTCAACTCTCTCTATAGACTCGACTCTATTATGTGCTAGATTCTAACAAGTAAGAGTCTAAATATTGTAATATACCTCTTAGTTTTAATAGTGACGTACCTTAACAGAATTATATATGTTAGTATTTATCATTCTCTCTTAGCTGTTGGTACAGTTATGTACTGCCCTTTCATACCTTCTAATGATGGAAACTATTAAACAGCTTAGTCTGTTAGTAATTATACTAATAACTACCATAGATACACCTATTATGCATTACATCCCTGAATATGAGTAACCAATAATAAAAAAAAAAATTATTAATAGATTCCGTCATAGCTAGTTACACTACTGTTTTAGGTTCTAATAGATTGTATTTAATCACAATCTACTTATGAATGGAGTTTATAGTAGAAAAAGAAAAATCTTCATCTCTTCTATAGCATCTAATATCTATTAGTATTTATAATAGCTCCTGTAACACCCAGTTGCTACTAGTTCATAATTCTATCCTTAGATTCTATTGTTAGAATAGAATATTGCAGTTACAGCTATTATTATATATTTGATTTTATTATTGGATTCACTTCTAAAAACAGAATTGCCATGAGTAACTACTAGTCTCCGTAGTAGCTATTGTTACAATCTAATAGATACTAAGGATCTATAACAGATAATTGTAAGATGACTGTGTTACTAGCAATGCTAGAATTATCCATGTACAGTTCTAGAGTACAGAATGCTATGTTAGTATCCATACAGGGAGTAATATAGCTATCTATTACAACCTACATCATATCATAGCTATTATTATAAGCTATATTATATCTATCAGAACCTAGTAACAGAATTAGCAAGTATCCATAGGTGTATCTATAGTAGCTGATAGTTCAAATTTCTTCTATAAGCTATTGGAATCTAATAATAAACTGTGCAAACTTCTATAAATATTAATAACTGCTAATAAATTAAAATAGCTACTATAGATAACTATCAGTGCAATTTGTTAATATATAATTCTTTAGATTCTGTTATTAGATAATAACTATTAATGCAATTTTCTATTAGAGTAGAATTCATCATTAGAATGACTTGTTAGTATCTGTAGTAGCTGATAATGTTTTATCAACTATGAGAATCTTACAGATATTATGTTATTTAATAGATAATTCTATTATAGCATATAATAATCTAATGAATAATTGCAAATAGTACTAGCTACTGTAGATAGTAAATACAAATAGGAGCTATTAATACAATTGTATCCCATGAATTGTTACAATATTTTAATGAGATTCTCAGTTACTAGTTCAGTAGTCCAGCTAGTATCAGTACTAGCTGGAAATACAATTATCCATTAGAGGCTATTACTATCTGTACTAGTTGGTAATACAATCTTATGAACTACTGGAATCTAATATTAGATTATTATTTATTATTTGTTACTAGTATTTATACTAGATAGTAAAAGATTCCAGTAGATAATAAATAATCACAATTATAGAATTACTGAAGAGCTTCTAAAAGGTCATTGTTTCAGGAGAATTACCTATTAACATCTATTAGTATCTATAATATTAGACAATAAATTTATTAAATGATAGTAATTACTAATAATTCTATTAATACAATTTATAGTAGCTAGTAATACAGTGATCTTAGTATCTGTAGCCACTAGTAATACAATACTCGACTGATGGATGCTAACAGATTATATGTTAATACCATCATCTAATACAGACACAAATAACTACTAGAAGACAGCATTATTACTATTTATAGTTTGTATTGATAATACAATTGGAATTGATTGATAATATCTATTAGAAACTTAACACAATTCTCTACTTTTAGTATTATCTGTCAGTACCTATTATTAGCTATTACTACCTAGTAATACCTGTTAGTATCTACTAATAGAATTCGCCATCAGCTGCTAGCAGATTTATCAACTATCGATGATTAGAATAATTTTCATGTCCTACCTAGTGGTGAAAAATGATGTTAAGCCAACGCTCTTCTGCTGGTATTATCCAGGAAGCGAAGGGCTGCTCCCCGGTCAAAGCCGTGCTGGGGAAAGCACGTCCCGCCGCAGCCTACCTGGGACACTGCGCTGAGAGCGGCTCGCGTTCGGCTCGCGCAGCCTGCGTCTCGCTTACTGTGAATTTCATCCAAGTCTTCCAAGTGCCCATTGCCTGGCGGAAGCAGGGAGCTGAATGAATGAATGAGTGTTGGCTTAAAGTCCATAGGATACCAACTTATTCACGCTAGTCCAGGAAGGAAAGGGCCATTTCCTACGCAAAAGTCATGCTGCGGTGAAAGCAAACCTAAAGGTGGGAGTCTGCACCTTGCCACCCTCCTTAATAACCTGCTCCTGGGGAAGGTAACCTAAAAATTTAGAAGGGGAGGCACAGTGCTCTTGCCAGCTGTGCTGCATTGCTGTTAACACAAACAAATTCAAAACCAGCCTTTGAACTTTTTACTGCATTTTTCACATTTTATATATATATATATATAAAAAAA